CTCTGGCCTCACCATCCTGTCCCAGCCACTCATATGGGATATGAGCCTTTTCCTCCAACAGTAGGATGAAATATTTTTGGTTGGCAAATAAGTCAGCTTCCTGGTCTGTTTTGTTACACTCAGCACATTGTGAGTATCCATGGGGAGTGTAGGTTGTTTACAGGCTTACCTCCAAGACTCTTCAAGGAGTCCTTGGAACTGTGGTCAATGGAAAAGTATATAGCATTACTAAGAATGTGACAAGGTTGAGTATTTAGGCCCTGGAAATGTGCAGAAAGAAGCCACACCTTCCTTCAATCCAAGTTATCAAGGAGACAGCTTGAGAGATGTTGGGTCATTCTGCTGCTACCCTCATCACCCCTTCCACATGATTAGTCTAAGATGTATGGAACAATTCATTGGCAGAGAATCCAAGTACTGTGGACTTTGTGACTCCATAGTAACCATCTCTTGCAAAGAGGGCATCCTAGGACTTTTCCTGGTCTTATTCCTTGTCTTCTAGGTGACATCATTTATTTGTGGCTCTGTAACTCATTGGGTTACCTCATTAATACCTATGCCCTGGATAGTGCAGTTTCCACCATGAGTAAAATGAAGAGTTATTCCCAAGTGTCCCAGGATTTTTTGCCAGTATATTGACCTATCCCTTTGTGCTTGTCTTCAATCTTGTGGCTGTCAACAACTGTGGGCTTGCTGGTGGGTCGCCTCCCTACTCCCCAGTATATACTTCTTGGATAGATTGCTGGTGCATGTGACAGAAATATGAGTCGAGGAAATAGCCTATTTTTTCAGATGGCCCCCTTTGGGAAGACTTATTGTTATGACCTGAGAATGTTAATTTGAAGATGTGGGGCAGGGACAGTGACATTTCTATAGTCCCAGATGCAAAGAATTACGGAGGAGAATGTTGATTTCTATACGGTGTGGTGTGCTTTTTAAAAAATCATTTAGGGGCGCCTGGGTGGCTTAGTCGGTTAAGCGTCTGACTTTCGCTTAGGTCATGATCTTGTGGTTCGTGGGTTCGAGCCCCGCGTCAGGCTCTGTGCTGACAGCCAGTTCAGAGCCTGGAGCCTGTTTCAGAGTCTGTGACTCCCTCTCTCTCTCTGACCCTGCCCTGCTCACGCTGTCTCTCTCTCTCCTAGAAATAAATAAAACATTAAAAAAAAAAAAGAATCATTTAATCTTGGGGGAAAAAATGTTTGAAAAGTGTGGAAGCCCCAGAGGGTTTCCTGGACTACTACCTGCACAGTTCTCCAGGTGATGCTACTGTACAGGGTTTAAAAAATTTTAATTTTTTCAAGTATTGTTAATAAATTAGGAAAATATTCACAATATATGAAGTGAAACGATTACAGTTAACAAAACAACATGTACATATAATATGTCCCAAATTTTGCTAAGTGTATATTTGAATGTACATATAACTAAAAAAATGGAAGGTTATACTTCAAAATATGGATGCTAGTTATTCCTTAAATTGGTGATTATGAGTGATTTAAATTTTTTGTACATTTTCTACAATCAATAGAGATTAGAAAAACTCCAGAATGTGTTATATTTAAAAATGCAATAAAAGCAAAAAGAAGTGTACCCAATCCTCTGCCTATTGTTAAATACAGAAATAAATGTTACCCCCTCCCCTCTCTCTGCTGCCTCATATCCAGACTAAAAGAAGGAAACAATCCAGTGGCTATTGTGCCTTGAGCATTGGTTTGAAGCCCTTGAGTATCTGTGTTAAGCATATAGGGTTAACCTTTTGAACATCAACCTTGAATATGGGTATTATTTTCAGTTGGCCTTTAGGGAGTAGATTTAGAGTAGAAGCAAACTGCCTGGGGTGTGAATCCCAGCTCTGCCATTATTCATTGGTTGCCCTTGGGTTAGTTAGTTACCAGTACCTAATTTTCCCCACCTATGAAGAGGGAGTTTTTAGGAGTAGATGAGTTTAACTCTATGACATGCTTGGAGAAATGCCTGGCACTTAGTGATCAGTAATAGTTATTGTGGTTATTATACTATCATACTATTTTCTGTTTTTAATTTCATTGATTCTATTTTTATCTATTTCTTTTTGCTTCTTTAGAGTATATTTTATTCTTTTTCAAGGTTCTTGAGATGGAAGCCTAGATTATCAAAATGAGCCCTTTCCTGTTTTACTAATGTATGCATTCAATGCTATAAATTTCCTCTCAGCACTACTTCAGCTGTGTCTCACAAACTTTAGTATATTTTCATTTTCAATTCAATGCATTTTTTACATTTTTGTTGAGACTTTTTCTTTAGTCCATGGATTATTTAGAGTTGTGTTGTTTAGTTTCCAAATGTTTAAAGATTTTTTCATGGGGCAAAGTCCAGAGAAAACCAGATGTAAGCTTTTAAGAGTCCTGTCTCAATGGAGTCACACAGGATGTACTCAATTCCTCAGCACTGCGTTATGACAACGTATGTGAAATGTCTATCAGGGAAGCTCAGTGCCCAGGGTTATACTGGGCGTTGTTCAGTGATTCAGTGCTCAGGGTTTATACTGGGGACTGTTCCTGTAGGTACCCTCTATCTAGCATGTTCAAAATTTCAGATTCTCAGAAAGAAAATGTGTTTTCAACATAACCACATTATTTGCAGAGTTCAGACACAATGAGCCGTTCTTACCAGGGAATGAGGGGAACCCTCCTGAAATCTTAAGTTCCTAGATGCCCTTAAAGGGCCAATTCTGCAAGCAGGTCTTTCTAAGGATGGCAGCCTCAGACTTGCTATGTTAACTCTATTCTGCACAGAGGTATATTATAAAATGTATTTTATCTAAGAAACTAAACTAGTATCAACAAGTCTATACTTTTTTAAATAATTTTTTTGTTAAAATCTTTTTTGCATGTTTCCATTTACTTTCTTAAAAAATTTTTTTAATGTTTTATTTATTTCTGAGAGAGTGGGAGAGAGACAGCATGAGCAGGGGAGGGTCAGAGAGGGGGAGATACAGAATCTGAAACAGGCTCCAGGCTCTGAGCTAGTTGTCAGCACAGAGCCCAGTGTGGGGCTCGAACCCACAAACTGTGAGATCATGACCTGAGCCGAAGGCTGGCGCTCAACCGACTGAGCCACCAAGGCGCCCCCCCCCTTTTTTTTTTTAAAGAGAGAGAACACACAAGCAGGGGAGAGGAGCATAGGGGGAGAGAGAGAGAGAGAGAGAGAGAGAGAGAGAGAGAGAGAGAGAAAGAATACCAAGCAGGCTCCACACTCAGCACAGAGCCCGACTAGGGCTCGATCCCATGAACCTGGGATCATGAGCTAAGTCAAAATCAAAAGTTGATGCTCTTGACTGAACCACCCTCGGACCCCCAAATGTATATATTTTTAGAAAAGCTTTATTGACATATATTAACACACCATAAGATTTACCCATTTAAAGTGAACAGCACAATGATTTTTAGTATATTTATGGAGTTGTGTAACAGTCACCACAATCTAATTTTAGAACATTTTCTTCACCCCTAAAAAACCCCCAAACCCCTGGGCAGTCGTTCCCCATTCCTAGCAGCCCACCAGGCTTCCTTGGCTCCTACCTGCAGCCTCCAGGCAACCATGAATCCACTCTCTGTCTCTGTGGAACAGATCTATACATTTGACATGTTTTCAACTTCAGTTCTTCTCTGATCTTAATGGTTTTGTAAGAAGGTAGTTCAGAAATTATTCAGAGACATTTCTCTTTCAGTGTGTGTCAAGGGGTCACACTGTTGATACAGAGCCTTATCAACAGTAATCATCATCAAAATTAGTATTACTTGAGTTAGTGGCATTTAATGAAATAATTCATTATAGAGGCCCTTGTCTCTGGGGTGCCTGAGTGGCTTAGTCAGTTGACCATCTGATTCTTGATTTCGGCTCTGGTTATGATCTCAGGGTCATGGGATTGAATCCCTCTTGGGGCTCTGTGCTGAGTGTGGAGCCTGTGTAAGATTTTCGCTCTCTCCCTCTGCCTCTCTCTCTGCCTCTGTCTGTCTCTCAAATTAAAATAAAATAAAATAAAAATAAAGGCCCTGTCTTTGCAAACTTTGTTCTCACCTTAAAAAAAATGTTATACTGTTGGTTGAGGCCTACCAAGAAAATTTTAATCATATTACTTGGTTATTGTTTGTCCTTTAATGGTACCTTTTTGCTATAAGATAGCTAAAGACTCATGTAGAAAATTGGGTGAACTTGGAAAAGGTAGCTGTACTATTGCCATTAGGAGGTAGAGAGAGAAAAAGGTGTATATGTTGTTAGGAGGGAAAGGGCAAAGCATATACATAATATATGGCTGGTTTTTCTTTTATATTCCCTAAAGTGGGTGCAATATGCAAGAATAAAAAGTAAGTTTACATGTGAAATTATTAGTTATATTTAAAGAATTGTAAAAATTCTTTAAAATTGTAGAGGTGCCTGGGTGACTTAGTTGGTTGAGTGTCTGACTCTTGATTTTGGCTCCAGTCATGATCTCATGGTTCCAGGGTTTGGGCCCCATGTCGGGCTCTGTGCTGCCAGCGAGGAGCCTGCTTAGGATTCTCTCTCTCTCCCTCTTTCTCTGTCCCTCCGCTGCACATGTGTGCGCGCATACCCACATGCTTTCTCAAATAGACATTAAAAAAATAAATTGTAAAAATTGTAAAGCAAAGGTATTCTTTGTGTTTTTTAGTCATTATATTGATAGAAGTCTAGTTCCCTTCATAATTGAGTTAGTAGACAAGCTGTACTACACACTGAGAACCATGGGAGGGTATTTGTTTTGTGGTTAAAACACAGAACTTAGTCACCATGAGTTACGTAGTTATTGACTAACTTTGGGTGTGTACGTAAGTGTCCAAATCTGTGTCAATTCTTATGCTTTGGAAATAGGCTTAATTTTAATGTTAACACGTGTTTGTAATTAAGAGATTTTTTTGGACATCAGGAACTAACATTTTAGGTGACTTGTTTTCAGAGATAAAGCCCCAGAGCTCATCATTACTTATTTGCTTATCTTCCAGGTGATTTTACAGCAAGATGCTGCTCTCCATCGGGATGCTCATGCTGTCGGCCACACAAGTCTATACCATTTTGACTGTCCAGCTCTTTGCATTCTTAAACCTACTACCTGTAGAAGCAGACATTTTAGCAGTAAGTACACTAAGATTTATTCATGTCTAAAAATTTCCCTTAAAGAAGAGCTTTTAAAAGTCCTAAATGTCGGGGCGCCTGGGTGGCTTGGTTGGTTGAGCTTCCGACTTTCGCTTAGGTCATGATCTCACGGTTCGTGGGTTCGAGCCCCGCGTCGGGCTCTGTGCTGACTGCCAGCTCAGAGCCTGGAGCCTGTTTCAGAGTCTGTGACTCCCTCTCTCTCTGACCCTCCCCTACTCATGCTGTCTCTCTCCTAGAAATAAATAAAACATTTAAAAAAAAAAAAAATCCTAAATGGCAAGATGTTTACCTGTGAACATACAGGCACATACACATACTTGTTACTTGAAAGTGGAGGGCCTTACTCATCTTTTTATTGCTTAATATCTAACATAAGATTTCACATACAATTCATGTCTAAAAATTTCCCTTAAAGAAGAGCTTTTAAAAGTCCTAAATGTCGGGGCGCCTGGGTGGCTTGGTTGGTTGAGCTTCCGACTTTCGCTTAGGTCATGATCTCACGGTTCGTGGGTTCGAGCCCCGCGTCGGGCTCTGTGCTGACTGCCAGCTCAGAGCCTGGAGCCTGTTTCAGAGTCTGTGACTCCCTCTCTCTCTGACCCTCCCCTACTCATGCTGTCTCTCTCCTAGAAATAAATAAAACATTTAAAAAAAAAAAAATCCTAAATGGCAAGATGTTTACCTGTGAACATACAGGCACATACACATACTTGTTACTTGAAAGTGGAGGGCCTTACTCATCTTTTTATTGCTTAATATCTAACATAAGATCTCACATACAATTAGTACTTGATAAATGTTACTCTTGAAAATATGTGTGCATTTTCAAGAGTGCTCTTGCACACATGAATCTACATGCTGTGTATTTGTGTAGAATCTTACTGTTTTTCTTGATAACTAGCATAGCTCTAATGATTTTGATATATACATATATATCAATATATTTTTTAATTAAATGTTTATTTTTGAGAGCGAGAGTGAGAGAATCCCAAGCAGGTAGTGCACTGTGAGTGCAGAGCCCAACGTAGGGCTCAAACTCATGAGCTGCAAGATCATGATCTGAGCCAAAATCAAGAGTCAGATGCAGAGCCACGCAGGCGCCCATGATAACGATATTAAAAATAATTTTTTTAACGTTTACTTATTTTTGAGACAGAGACAGAACGTGAATGAGGGAGGGGCAGAGAGAGAGAGAGAGAGAGATGGACACACAGTCTGAAGCTGACTCCATGCTCTGAGCTGTCAGTACAGAGCCCTACATGGGTCTCGAACTTACAAACCATGAGATCACGACCTGAGTTGAAGTTGGACACTTAACTGACTGAGTCACCCAGTCTCCCCTTGATATTTTTAAAAATTATATAAGATGCTCATAGGAAATTTCAACCTCAGACTATTGTCAATGGGAAGGGAAGCACAGTGATCTTATCTTTGATGGTAGATAGAAAAGTTTTTGGAAAAGAAGATTGATCTTCAAAAACCTTAGTATTTCTTTCTAGGTTGTCTTACTGTCCTCTGCACTGGGAAGTGTATATATTTCGTGTTTCTCATTTCTGTGAAGCCAGAATACTTCACATATCCTGTGTGTATATGTATGTATGTGTGTATATACATCTATACTCTAGGTGCTATGCTAAACCTTATTATTTTAAATTTCTGGGTGCAGGGGATTTGCTGAATGACATCAGGTCACTCTAGAAACAGAAGGGCCAGAATTGTTGCTGACCAAAGCTTGAGGTGGTGCTCAGCCATGTTTCTGTATACTGTGGTACTTGTGGAAGTGTTGAGGATCATTGTGGAATTTGGGAGAGCCCGACTTCTTTCTATATCCTCACTTTTAAAGCAGCGACTCAAAACCCTATGAGATTTCTCACTCTCTGTTACCCTCTTTAGTAAGGAACTGGTTGATTATATTTTTTCTGGAATAGTCTAGATGGAGTAGAAGTGGAACCTTGAAGGACTAGGGGTTCATTGATATGCAAATTTCCTCTAACTTAGTCCCCAGAGTCCTTGGAATATTCTTGGGATGACTTTTAAAATGAAGTAGAGGATTTATGGACTGATTAGGGAATGAAGTTCTCCATGTCTACCTTTTCTCCTTTGATTTCTTTGATATTCTTCCCTTCCCTTCCTTTCTTGTTTGTAATATCTGCCACTCCTTTAACTTCCTTCTTTCCTTCTTACCTGAAGTGGATTGTTTATGGGTTAGCTGTGTGAAGCTCCTTTAGGAGCTTCAGTGGACTCCTCTGGGAACTTAACCAGCACTGCAAGTGCTTCTGTTTCTTTATTTCGGTATGTTGTAGTGATGATTAGATAAGGTAAACTACTTAGAACAGTATCTAACACACAGTAAATGTTTTATCTTTTTTATCTTCATTATCATGATCATTCTTCTCATCCTTCATCCACTCCCTCGAGCAGTGTACGAGACTGCCCAAGAGGTTTGCTTTTTTGTTAATGGAGAGACAATATAAAATATTAGGTATAGAAGAACAATCCATGCTTGCCACCAGTATTCCCTGTGTGTCAGGCAGGTAAATGTGGAATGTATGTTAATATCATCGAGGGAAGGAACCATCAGAATGGGACCTAAATCTGGTCTTTATGTCGACACTAAAGGATAGAAGGCTGATGATGCAAAAGTAGTTGGAGGGGAGTAGATGGTGAAGGCATGTAACTAGTAAAAAGAGGAACTAAATATCAAAGCAGAGGAACTAGATCCAGTAACATACGTATTAAAAGGAAGTGAGTCAAGAGCCAGAAAACGTTAGCTTTTCCTTTTAAGTGAGTAAGAGCATCCTGAAATCTGAATGTGTAGTAATAGAGATTTAAACAAGTTGGATATCAGATTGGTCCATTTTGGACTGGTATTAGGATGCTGCTTTTGAAAAGATAAAATTCAGATTATTTTATTTTTGGTGATTGAATTCTACCATTTGTTAATTCCCTGACAACAGTATTTGTCCAACTGGTTAGAGTTCTAAGAGAATATGGAGCTGCAAGTATAGTGTGTTGCTGACTAGTCAGTAAGCCCCCCTAGATCATGAGTACCTGAAAGGCAGGACTGTGTCTTACTATACTTTGTTTCTGGTGCTGAGTGAGAGTTATATACAGTAGGAATTCAATAAATGTTTCAACTGATTAATAACTTTTCCTTGGAGATTTAATTTTTCATATTTTCTTTTATTCTTTACTACTTGATTTTTTAAAGTTTATTTATTTTGAGAGAGAGAGAGTGTGCGCACTCACGGGTGGGGGAAGGGCGGGGAGAGAGAGAGAGAGAGAGAGAGAATCCCAAGCAGGCTCTGCCCTGTTAGTGCAGAGCCTGATGTGGGGCTCCATCTGATGAACTGTGAGATCATTACCTGAACCTAAATCAGGAGTCAGTACTTAGTCGACTGAGCCTCCTAGCCACCCCGATACTTTAGATGATTATTATTTCTTTAGCAATTCATCTTCATCGTCTTTTATCTCCTCGTATCTCTCTCCTCTGACCTAAAATTAAATGTGACATTATTAATTATGTAGGTTTATATCTAGAAACATGGAGCTTTATATTTGGCGGAGGCATTCCACTTTAGAAATAACCACATCGATGTTGACTATTCTCAGGTACATAGGCTACAAGTGACCTGTTAGTTCTGAGCTGTGCCATGATCTTATTGAAAAGTAGTGTCTATCTTAATGTGGTTTCAGAGAGAATCAACCCAATTTTGACTTATTCCCAGTCTGCCTTTTGATTCTGTTGTAGGAATTTGTCAGAGAGAATTTACTTCTTGGTAGGTAGTTGTGAGAGTCAGTGGGCAGAGTAAGAGAGAAGCACCCAGTGGTTAGTGGTCTGAGTGGATCAGATTATATAGCATGGTTGTTAAGAGCTCCTGCAGCATATGTGGAAACTGAATTGAATTCCAGTTCTTTTTTTTTTTTTTTTTTTAATTTGTTTCTAGGAGAGAGAGAGAGAGAGACAGCATGAGTAGGGGAGGGTCAGAGAGAGAGGGAGACACAGACTCTGAAATAGGCTCCAGGCTCTGAGCTGGCAGTCAGCACAGAGCCTGACACGGGGCTCGAACCCACGAACCGCGAGATCATGACCTAAGCAAAAGTCGGACGCTTAACCGACTAAGCCACCCAGGCGCCCCTTGAATTCCAGTTCTGCCACTCTAGAGTTGCATTGCCTTGGACAAATAGCTTCAAACCTCTTAAGTCTCCATTTACTTATGAAATGAGAATGTATGAGAGACAATGTGGGGCAATGAGTTAAGAACCAGGGCTCTGGGACATGACTGCCTGGGTGAGAATCCTGGTTCCTCTAACTTACTAGAGCAAGTTCTTTTCTTTTCTTTTGTTTAGATTAAATTTATTTATTTATTTATTTATTTATTTATTTATTTATTTATTTAGAGAGCAAGCACTAGCAGGAGAGAGAGGTAGAGGAAGAGAGAGAAAGAATCCAAAGTAGGCTCCATGCTCAGCCCCAGCAGTGCTTGATCCCATGACCCTGGGATCAGGGCCCAAGCTGAAACCAAGAGTCAGATACTCAACCAACTAAGCCACCCAGGTATCCCTAGAACAAGTTATTGTCAACATTTTGTGGCCATTCTATAAAATGAGAATGATAAAATAGTGTCTGACTTTATAGGGATTTTTTAAGGATTAAATAAGTGAACACCTGTTAGATGTTTAGCATGATCTCATAAATGCTCAATAATTGTTAGCATTTGTCACTTTCTAAATCAAATTAAATCACCTGTTAAGGCTGCTGTTGAAGGACAGAATTGGTTAAGGAAAAGACTTTTTTAAAGGAATTGGATTAAAATTATTATATGGCAGTCATTAAGGATGGGATTCCAGAGAGGAGTAACTTTATTTTCTACTTCAAAAATGTTAACAGGGAATGTTCTTTTTTTTTTTTTTCCTTAGTGTTGATTTATTTATATTGAGAGAGAGAGAGAAAATGTGAGTGCACATGCATGCACACAAGT